TGACACATTTTTTACTTAACGGGGCCTTACCAATTTGCTCAAGAAACGCTCGTAATTGTTAGATAAGCAGGAATATATCGAAGCAACTGCTTGAGGATCAACTTCAGCAGCCAGGATATCCTATCACTGGGATTTCCACAACTGCTTACAATAGGCCTTATTTTGAACTCTGCAGGGTCCGAGGAGAGGAAATTGCTAGCAGTGAGCTTGTGGGTTTTGATGAGTACGTAAAGGATAGGACATCTGGGCAAATCGTATTTCAGATGTGATATCAAGTTCTTCAGTTAGCCAACAGAATTTGCAATATCTGTCCATAGTCTGTTCAAGCGGCGATACTCCTTTGCAAATTCGTTCTCAGAGGAAGCCTGATATAATGTCTCATCATTCAAGTGATGTCTTGTTATAACCATATTTATTCCCTTATCAAAACGACGAAATCCCCTCCTTTATCGCTAATGGATATCTTGATCTTATTACTAGCAGGCACTTCATGAAGTTCGCGGAGATCAAGATGCTGGGAAGGTGTTAAATTAAAGATGGGACTTTTTGAAAAGCGCGTTAGAAGTGGGAGAACGGATGTAGCTAGTATTTGAAATTTTGCATCTATCACTTGATGGGGACCTTGTGGCTTAAAAGTCAGAGAAGGGGAAGGATTGAGAGGCAAGCGCATATCGCTGTTGGCTCGACCCCGATTCGAAGACAGCCAAGGTGAGAATGAGTGACGGTTTCCGTCACTGCTTTCAGCCTGGCTTGATGTTGAATGTAGCCTTGGCCTGGACGAGGTGTTCGGGAGAACAAACCACTAATGTGGACGACCTTCCAGGCTCCAACGAAGGTGAAGGCATCGAAACGTCAGCTTGATTGAATAAAGCGTGCTACAATCTTGGTAATCGGCTCAAGTAAACAAGTACGAAGATTTTTCACTTTACAAATTTCCACTTAATTTGGCAAAAAAGATAATCTTAGGAGAGTCTTACCCCTTTTCCTAAACAGAAGAGCATGAGCGAGCTTTGGTTCTTTTAGAAAAATTTTCAAGGCCCTTTTTTCAAAAGATTACTTTCAGGGCCCTTTTTCGCAATGATTATTTCTGTATTTTATAAAAAAAATACTTAGCGGCTTTTAGCAACACAATCCAGCAAATAATGTCTAAATTTCACTCAATCTGGCAAAAGATTTTATTTTAGGAGCATAGTTCAGAACGTACTTTTAGCCTTAAACAGAATAACAACGAGCAAGGCCTCGAGGGACGAAAAAGCTAAATGGTTTGTGGCAAAAAGGTATTTTCGCAAAGAATATCCCGGTCATGAACAATTCTACAAAATTCGGCGAAAAATTTGTTCTTGGGAATTGCTTAAAATTCTACGTTTGTCCCAAAGAAGAGCAATGAGCGAGCTTTTGGTTTCCTCGAACAATCGAATTTTTTGCAAAAATATTTTTCGCAAACATGCCTCTGTTTATAAGATAACTTCACGTTGCCTGGCGAATGCTTGAAAAAAGTCCTACTTTTACCCCTAGACAAAAAAAACCGCGAGCGAGCTTTGCTTTCACAGGAAGAAGCTCAGGAGCTTTAGCAAAGAGGTATTTTCCTCAAGACGCATTTGTTTCATAGAAATCCATAGGAGTTTTTATCACAGAAATAGTTTCACCAAAATCATCTTCGTTGGAAATTTTGTAATCTTACGAAAAAAAAATTATGTGAGCATGTGTTAAAAACCTTACTTCTTGTCCCAAACAAAAAGCAATAACATGCCTTGGCTTTCCTGGGTAAGAAATTTAGGGATTTCCTAGCAAAAAAAACTTTCCCTTGAAGAATATTTTCATTTCGTTATTAAACTTTATCTGAGGAAAAATCTCTCTTGGGATCAAGTCCTCTTGAGAACTTTAGTGACAAAAGGAAGAGCAGTAAGAGAGACTAGGCCTTGCGGGAGGGAGAAAGAGCAGGAACTTTCAGCAGAAAGTTATTTTCTCAAGAAATGCCTCCGTATTAGGAAATTTGTATCGAATAATCACTTTGATAGCATGCACTTCGAGGAAGCCCTATCTGCTTCAAACGAAAAACAATAAGCGAATCTTGCTCGTGGAAAAAAACGCTAATTGTCATTTAGAAGAAGATTGTATTAAGGAATATCTTCGCTTCCTGTAAACTTGCCACTTTCTGTCAAAAATTTACTTTTGTGGCCATCCAAGAATGTCCGTGCTTTGAATGAGATTACTGATTGAATAGAAGGCATGAACACTCTCCGGTCAGAACAGTTTCACAAAAAAAATTTTCTCGAGGATGCAGATACCTAAGGAGAAATCTACTTTTAACATTCGCTGGTAAAATCCCGTTTTTCTACGTTTACTTTTGAAAAGAAAAGAGGTTTACTCTCAAAAAGGAAAGAAAAGCAAAACTTTGTGAAAGATACTCCTGAAATTTCTTATTTTAAGAACATCTTACTTTTGTCTTCAAAAGAGAAACGATTGGCGGGAGCATGGTCTCGCTGGCAGAAAAGACCGGGGACCCTGTACAAAACACTTTTCTCAACAACTCTTAGGTCTGAAAACTTGGCCGAATGACACTTTTGGCTTCTACTCTAAGAATATCCTACTTTTGACTTTGAAAAAAAGTAGAGCTGGGCAATCTTGGTATCGTTGGCAGAAAAGACGAGGGAATATATGCGACAGGACACCTTTATTAAAAGCAACTTTTAGTCAAGAAACTTTGCCGAAAGATACTTTTGAAATTGCCAGCTATGGAAACACCCTACTTTTGCTCTGGAAGAGCAAAGATCAGGGCTTAGTGCGGCAAGACACTTCTTAGGAATTCCTAAGCTTTACAGATGAATTCCAACAAATGTTACCGAAAGATACTTTTAAGGTTGCCTGATCTAGAAACACTCAACTTATCTTTTTGAAAAAGAAAAGAGCAGGACAGATCTGGCCACACTGACCTTTCGGCAATCAGAAGTCTTGTTTCCAAAGATCAAGAATTCACGTAACGGGGCACTTTTTTTTAGCAATTTTTAGGCTTAAGAAACATTGCCAAAGTTTAGAGACTTTCTAATCTGGTAACACCCTATTTTCACCTCCAAAAGAGAAAAAGCGGGACTGCTGGCAGAATAGAGAGAATGGCAGAATTTATACCACAGGTCATTTTTTCTAGAAACTCTTTTGCTTCACAGAAAAATTTCAGAAACTTCACTGAAAGATACTTTTGACATTCTCTGCCCTAAAAATTCTGCTTTTGCCTTTTAAATTGAAGAAAGCAGAACGAATTTGATTTCGGTGGCAGAAAGGAACATCATACAGCAGGACACTTTTTCAAAGACATTCTGGGTCAAATTTATAAAGATTTGGCAAAATTTTTATTTGAGTTCTTCCCTCTAAAAACAAAAAACATCCTACTTTTCTCCAAAACCGAAAAGAGCAGGGCGAACTCGGTCTCGTTGGCAGAAAGACCAGGGACTTGCAGCAGGACACTTTTCCTGAGATTTACTACGCTTCACGTATTGATCTTAGAAAAATTCACTGAAAGGTACTTTTGACATTCTTTACTCAACAGGGTGCGGAAAGGAAATACTGTCCCTCAAAATATAGTTCAAAAAACCGGCGTAATTCACAGGTTTTCCCAATGAATTTGACATAATTCCCAAGATGTGGATGTAAGCATTTTAAAAAAACTTGCCTCGGAATTCTACAGAGGGACCCGGCGGCGGATCCCTTTTCGCAGCCCATTTCATATCAAATCTTGCAACTCCCCATTACAGATGTAAAAAAGTGTGAAGATTTTTGGAAATTTTTTTGTTTGTCACGCGAAATTGAGAAATTCTCTACTGGTTAACGAATGTAATAGTGGATACCGAAATATTCTGAAAGTAGCCAATCAGTAGTTGCACTAGTAGAAAAGCTGTGAATTTTTCTAACGAGGAAGTGGCTGCGGAGCAGCAGCGTGCGTTCAGAAAACGTGGCACAGAGAATAGGCATAATCATTTATCGCTCCAAAATCGTGCTGTAGACAAAATCGATGCTCTTTTCATTTTCCTGTCACTTTTTATTGTAATCTGGAACTTCGAATCATAGCATTGATCCAATTCGTTAAGCAAGGCAGTCTTGCTCCGCCTCTTTTCAAGAATTTTTATTTTTTATTTTTATTTATTTTACAATACACTCAATTTTTGCGATTCGCGTGTGATACAATCTTCCTTGTTTGGCGAATACAATAATCACCAGTACAAGTTTATCTATAGTGGGTATAGAATTTTGGAGAAAAAATCATGCGCTACATACCAGCTTGATTTGAACCTTGTATGCTGGTGGTATAGTTATGGTTCAAAATTGCGCTTATATGCTATCGGCGCATCGTTGATGTCCTTGCGCGCTGTTATCACTCATTCAAATGGACAGAAGCAAACAGTTTCAAATCAAACTTGTCGTTATTCAATCTCAAGGAAACTACAGATTTGCTTCCTGTTTGAGATATTTCAGGAGACAAGTTGGAGGGAAAGTTTTTCCGCACCCTATAGAATCCTCATCGAACATCCTTCTCTTGCCTTCAAAAGAAAAGAGTGGGACGAGTTGATTTCGCTAATAGAAATTACTAGGGTCGGACCTGTCGAAACTCAGAGTTATAAGTCAGAGTCAACTCCGAGTTATCTCTCAGGTAACGCGCATCCTTCTAACCCCCTCAACAGGTGCTTGACCAGACCAAATCTGGAAAGCGATGATATTGCAGAATACTCCGTAACTGGTAGTTTATTCCTAAATTCCTAGTAGCGCAGTAATGTATAAATCGTTCTGCGCATGAAACAGCGCCATCAAACGCGCAGCTGAGCTCTGCGATAACTTTAAGTTTGGTGCGCGTCCAATTTATCGTGGACCTCTTAGACAACTCTGAGTCTTGTTTAGAGAAAGAGAAATAGTGCACAAAAGAAGTGGGGCAGCTGAAAAGTCCTTCGGAGTACATTCTGCTCGTAATTTCAGCACGTATGATGGGGTTATCGTGGTGCGCAGCAGCTTACAAAATTTCGAATTTTGTTGGATGGAAAGGATCACCGATCTACAATATTTGATGGCGGGAAAAGGAGAGGCCGATTTGACCTCGCGGAAGGGTATAAAAGAAGCGAATAAGGGGGAGCCGCGAGCAGAAGACGCTCGCGGGGAGTAGAAACGAGCTGGCCAGAAGAGAACCAGACCTCCCCTCAAGTAACGATCCAGCCAAGTAATCGAGCCCTACGAGAGGGTCAAATCTTGCATCCCCCCAGCTCCAAGTTTTGCACTAGTTGTTGTTATTTTCTTGTTGGCCCTCGGGCCCTTGTTGTTGTTTCTGCGGTTTTTATGTACATAAAGCGTTCTTGATCCGCGCGTGTCTTGCCAGTCAAAGGTTCAACTTTTTTTTCCATACCGCTAAACCGTCGACTCCATTACATGGGGGCCGAGTCGACGCATTGACTGGTGGATCACGAGCGGATTGATCGCTAGTGTTAGCTGCGGAGACATCAAGAGGCCACCGGAGCCATCAGAAAACAAAAGGAAAAGAGCACAAGAGAGGAGGGATCGATTTGAACCTTATCACCTCAAGCGCTTACAGAGGCGCCGCTATTGATTGATTTCGATATCCCCATCGATTATCCTGCCTATTTTTCGAGTAAACAAGTCGTTTTTTCGCGTATACACGTCGTTTTTGATGGAAATTTTTGAGAAAAGAAACACATTGCTTTTAGATAAGGGCAAAGTTGTCAAGATGGAAGAAAAAGAAAAGGATCAAATGAAATCGAATCAGGTAGGACATTTTTTTTAGATAAAAAATTTCATCGTCAAGTAACATATAGCAAGACTCATCAATTAGTGCAAGATCCCTTCTACTACCTACATGTGTTAACTGGTCACTTCTCTAATACGATGTTGTACGTCGTGCCTACTTTGGTGTTTTCTTCAACAGGCACTTTCTTCCCATGTAGTAAGTAAGGTTGTGCTAGATCGTGGCGACAATTCGACCATCCTGTTCCTAGTCCAATACCCGATCCAAACCATATCGGCCAGGACCGGCTCTTGAAGAATGCAACACTCGCTACAACACCAATGGCGATTCCTCCACTTATTTTGAGTAGAGAGTCAGCCAAACATCGATCGATCTTCTCCCCGAATTCATCTTCGCTGCGTACCATCTCAAACTTGGGTAATTAAACCAAGTTTGAAAAAGTTGATTTATTGGAGCAAATAGAGCTCATCAAGACGGGTGTAGAGCTGCTACCACAAGTGGTGAGCAGGCACCTAAGTGAAAGTAGAGCGGCAGCCAAGTACAGGGCGCCGCTGGAAGAAGAGCTATCTAGGAGAATAGGGGAAACCATGAATCAAATTGAGAACTTGGCTCTCAGTATCAAAATGTTTCTAGGATCCAGGGAAGGAGGGGGAACATTTGATAGAGCAAATGAACCTCTTAAAACAAATCCATTACAGGACAGCCCGCAAGAATTACCCGAAAGGCCAGCGTTGGAGCACGGCCGAGTTGAAAAAGAGCAGATTCAGGGTGAGGGCAGTTTAGCCTTTGATGAAAGATGTGCAAGTGATGAAGTATCTCAAATATCGAATTTGAAGACGCGGTGGAAAGAAGCAAGGTCCGTGACTGGTCGGACGTCAGAGCCGCTCTGGAGGCAATCGCAGGACATGAGAGGCAGCGAATTCCTGCCATGTCAAGGTACGCAGGAACAATTATTGAACTACTTTCAAAGTATGAGTCTTGCGGACCAAGGGGTATTCAAGGGGCACGAAAATGAAGACTTTGGGAGTTTTATCAGAAAATTCAAGAGAAAATTCGGTACGATCATTCGGGATGAGCACACCTTGGTAGAAATCCTGGGGGATGAGCATCTAGGAGGGCGAGCCAAGGCGGTGTTCCTGAGTATCCCCTCGGCAGTGAGGCACCAAGGATTTGATAGGGTGGTCGAAGAAATGACCACACTACTACCGTGCGACTCAGCTGCAGCAAGGCTCAGAGCTCTTACAGCTCTGAGAAACTTGCGGATGAGACCTAACCAAGGGGTAGCCGATTTTTGCGTAGCCCTGGAAGGCTTGGCTAGGAAAGCGAATCCTCAGTGTAGCATTGAGGAAAGATCTATGGAGTATGCACAAATATTCCTGCACAACTTGAGCACGTGGCCGGAATATGTGCAGCTAGTCGGGACATTGCACAAGGTAAACCCAAGGGACGCATACAATACAATTAAGGAAGTGGCGATTGAAATAGAGCAGTCGAAAAGACTGTGCAAGTGGGAAAGAAGAGACGAGCGGCAACCATCGCCGAGAAAGGAGGAAAGAGCAACGCAGAACAGGCATAGTCGAGATGTCAGCGGGGAAAGAGAAAGGCGCAGTGAAGAAAGGGTACCACATTCAACAAGGAATACGGACACCCTACGAGACCGCCAGAACGAAGGAAGGCGATGTTACGGGTGTCGCTTTGGACATCGAATAAGAGACTGTGGAAGCAAGAAGACAAACAACGACCTTAATGGCACAACAAGTCTGATGGCAACGATGATGGACAGAGCACATAATATGGTGGTAAAAAGTGCCCGCGATAAGACAAACGGCTTGATCGGGGAAAAAACAGTATTACCAGCGAGGATCCTGAACCGAAGAGTGACAGTGCTAATAGATACTGGGTCGATGATCAGTATCATGCCCATCAAGGTACTAGTAGATGCTAGAGACAGAGGATATGATGTGGACTCTTTGAAGTTCCTAGAAGTGGAAGAGGAAAGCATTTACGACGCTTCAGACAACATCATGAAGTTCCTTGGAGGGGTGAAAGTTGAGGTAGAAATTGAAGGAGGATTTAGAAGCAGAGTGGCATTTCATGTGACAAAGGAGGGAGACGAAGTGCTCCTAGGAACGAATGCATTGAAGAGCTTAGGCATCTCGTTGACCCTCCAGCAGCCAAAAGCGGAAACGACAGCAAGAGTAGTGGAGCGAGTCGTGATATCTCCGGGCAAAACGAAATTAGTGAGAATCAAATGTGAAGAAAGGGAGAAAGAGGGGCAGAGCACCGAGAAGGCTTTATGCCCATCAAGGAAAAGGGGCATCAAGATGCAGAGCTCACTTAAAAGTGATTTCAGGAAAGTGTATGATGAAGCACAGAGAGCAGTGAAAGACGAGTTAACACCTATGGAGAAAGGGCAAGGGTCTAGAAAGAAGGGACCCATTGCATTCATAGTACCCGAGTGCGCAGCGGCACTCAAGAAAGATAGGCAAAGTGGAATACTGACCAAGGAGGCAGTATCATTCAGTCAGCTTAAAGACGCATTGAGAAATTTGAAACACTGTCGTGTATGGATCATGGTATGGCCCATGGACCCAAGCAGGGAGGATGAGGCTATCATAGAAACATTGCGCTTATGCAAAGAGCACCTCAGAGCAGGAGGGCAGATTGTATCCGCGTGGCCACCGGTATCTTCACGCAAGTACGTATGGAAAACGAAGTCAAAAGTGTGGTCGGTGATTGACAGAATATTGAAGGATTATGCAAGCCCAAATCAGTTATTTACTTCAGCCCCCTCGAGAATAGGAAAGGGGAAAGCGATTAAAGAAGCAGGAAAAATTGGTGGTAGTTCTCAGCTTTCTAAAATAGTTTTTTCAGGGATGGATGGATCGCGACAGCTCTACAACATCCACAGGACAGCTCCCGGCGCAAAGCTCGACAATTTGCAGCAGCCGCCGAGGGCGTCGGCTCCCCGGAGGAGAGGGATGTTGGATGGAAAGGATCACCGATCTACAATATTTGATGGCGGGAAAAGGAGAGGCCAATTTGACCTCTCGGAAGGGTATAAAAGAAGCGGATAAGGGGGAGCCGCGAGCAGAAGACGCTCGCGGGGAGTAGAAACGAGCTGGCCAGAAGAGAACCAGACCTCCCCTCAAGCAACGATCCAGCCAAGTAATCGAGCCCTACGAGAGGGTCAAATCTTGCATCCCCTCAGCTCCAAGTTTTGCACTAGTTCTTGTTATTTTCTTGTTGGCCCTCGGGCCCTTGTTGTTGTTTCTGCGGTTTTTATGTACATAAAGCGTTCTTGATCCGCGCGTGTCTTGCCAGTCAAAGGTTCAAATTTTTTTTTCCATACCGCTAAACCGTCGACTCCATTACAATTTTTGTAAAATCTTGGCCTAGTGGGTTATTCAGTGCGCTGATCACGAATATGGTATGCATTTCTGGCTGCCGGTCCATATGGCGGAGTTACGGTAGTAACGAAAACCTTCTAAAGTTATGCTGATATACTAACTACAGTGTTAAGCATGCTGCTAATAAAAACAAATGATGTATTGGAGTTATGAAATTTGGGATGAACCACAGGTCGAAAGTTGGGGTTTATCGAAAAATTCGAATTTCGAAAACTCATATGCTCTTGTCAGTGAAATGCTTAGCACTGTTAGGTTTAGTAGTAAGCACAACTTTGGAAGTTTTCGTTTAGTTGGAAGAAAGAAAAATGGCTTTGAAGAAAAGAAAAAGGCGCCAGAAATCATCATGGATCGTACAAAAAGCTGAAAAATGCGGCTCGTGCAGCTTTTCACTCCTGTTCAATATGTTCATAGTAAATTATGGTAGAATATTTACGGATAGATAAACAACGAAATCCAGATATCTGAAGTTTCAGAATATGAAAAGTTTATTTAAGCTGCGATCGCCTCGCGAGCGGGGATATCAGTGCATGCGGCCCTAAGAGTTATTTGCTTTAGTCCTCGAATGAGTTCCGCTGGCAAAAAGTATTAGGGATTTGAAATTTTTACGGAATTCAGTGAAAGCTTTTTCAAAGGAGTTACGTTTGTAATTTAGGTCTCCTTCAAAGAAAAAGCTCAACGCACAAGGCATAGCAATCTAGACAAATATAAAGATGAGTGTTGGTAAATTGTTAGTCAGTGTGTTCTTTATAGAAATTTTTGTGTGTAGACCATTCAGCACGAAACTTTGCACACGTATATTTTCGGCCGGCCCATCCCGTATCACCTGTCCACGGATCTCCCTCATAGAGGGATCACAGCCGGTTAGTCGCGAGGCTACGTGGGGCGTCCCCAGGTGGCGGATAGGGGGATAATCGCCGACCAAAAGCGACCCCGCGCCTGCTCTGATAAGCAAGCGGAGCCGGGGGACGGACTCCCTGCCTCCACTAAAAGCTTGCGCCCTAATTTCCCGGGTAGGTGTGTGGGGAGGCGAGTTCGGAGTCGCCTCCAACAAATAAGCTCCGATCGTCCCTCGCGGGGGTTTTGAGCCCAACAAGCTATCCCTGCGAGTAAATTCTTGTTCGACACAGTGATAATATGGAAAGCTCCTTTAATCTTGGAAGAGCCACTGGTAAGGCAGCGCCAGTGGGGACAAGGTTTGAAAGGCGATCTAGGCTGCCGAAAACGAGACGGACTATGATGACAATCTGTACTTACAACGCGAGGACGCTGGCATCGGACGCATCTATCGAAGATCTCATGATGCAAGCAAGGAAGATTAAGTACGACGTCATCGGACTGACCGAGACAAGGAGGCACCACCCGCTCAACGCCACATTTGAGACTGGAGAAGAACTGTTTCTAGGAACATGCGACAGTCGAGGAGTAGGTGGAGTGGGAGCCCTTGTCAACACGAGTTTGGCCATGAACATCGATTCGTTCGAACAACTTACAACTCGAATCGGACGTTTGCGAATATTAAGATGTGGATCAATCCCTGCCTTGACCGTCTTCATTGCGTACGCCCCAACATCCAGCTACGACGGACGAACTCGAGGAATTTTATATGGTTGGAGAAGTTCTACAGAGAAGATCATACCTTCTACAAGATCATCGTCGGTGATTTCAACGCGAAGATCGGAACTAGAAGGTCGACTGAGGAACTTCACATCGGAACCCATGGTTTGCAGTGGAACGAACAAGGGGAGAGACTGTCCGAGTTTATCATGACGACGAGGACTATCCATGGAAACTCACAGTTCCAAAAGCCCTCTTCCCTACGCTGGACCTGGGAATCGCCCGGTGGAGAGTACCATAACGAGATTGACCACATCATCGTCAACAGAAGGTACTGCCTGACGGACGTCGCTGTTGTTCCGAAGTTCTACACGGGATCAGACCATCGTCTCCTGCGCGCCAAATTCTACTTTCCGCGGAATGGAGAGAGAGCCGTCAAGTT